GAACCCAGCACCTGGGTTCCAACGAACCCGCGCCTAGGTTCGAATGAACCCAATGCCAAGGTTCTAATGAACCCCACGCCTGTTGTTGTTGCCCTCTGCTCTTCTAGGGTTCGAATGGGAAGAAATGGGAGAAGATAATGAGTTTGGGTAGGAGGTGGGCCCCACATTTTATTTTTTTTTGTTGGCCGGGGATCGAATGTGTTTTTATGATGTATCTTTTTGTCCATGTGTATAGATGATGTGTTATAATATTGGGACATGGCATCATACTTCGATTAGTTAACTGGACACGCCATTGCATTTTTAACGAAAAAACAAAGTTGAGATAAAATTGATAAACAGTAAAGATCAAATTAAGAATTTGTTTAATTCAAGAACTAAATCAGGTCCGTACACTATTTCAAAGACCAAAATGAGGTTTAACCTTTCTTTAAATATAAATTAATTTAGTACCACATCAATTTACTACTCACAAGTCATAATTATGACAGAAGACATTCATTGCAAAGGATTCTTTTATCTCCTATCCTATCCTGCTTTCTAAACCTAAAATCCTAACATCTTTGATGTCCTTGCACCAATTGGAGCCTCATCCATATATTGCCTTGATTTTTACTGTCATTTATATATGTATCCATGGAAACTTTGTTGAGTGACTTCAAGAATGGAAAAGTAGGTAATCGGTTGGATTACGGGTAAGCCCAAAACCAATGTCTACAAAACCAAAACTTTTGACAGCCAAATCAAAGAAGCGAAGTTTATTTGGTTCAGTTTTCGGTCTTGGGAAAATCTCACCCAACAAAAACCATTAGTTTGATTTCAGTTGTATAGTAATACCGAATTATACCAGCTGTAATAATAAAATTTTAGAGGACGAGGTGAAAAAACATGATAAACTGGTAATTGTACCTTACTTACCTTGTTAAAAGACCAAACTACCATGCTCATCATCAACCCTGTCTTATCATCTACCATCGCCATGATCCTCTACTTCTTCTTCCTCCTTCCTCTCCTAACCCACACACAATCCAAACCCACGCTCACCGTTACCCCCAAGATCCTCTCCAAATCCGGCGATCCTGTTTTGATTCAATGGTCTGGTATTGACACGCCCTCAAAGCTTGACTGGCTCGGTCTGTACGCGCCTCCGGACTCGCCCCATGACCACTTCATCGGCTACATGTTCCTCAATTCCTCCCCTACGTGGGAATCTGGCTCCGGCAGCATTTCGATTCCTATCACCTCTCTCCGCTCCAACTACTCCTTCCGGATTTTTCACTGGTCCGAGTCAGAGATCGACCCAAGAAAACAGGATCAGGATCACAATCCACTTCCCGGGACAGCTCATTTCCTGACAGAATCAGAGTGGGTCGCCTTCGACCCCAACAGAGGACCTGAGCAGATTCACCTGGCTTGGACCGGAGTAGAGGGGGAGATGCGGGTAATGTTTGTAGTTGGGGATTTGGAGCGGAGGTATGTGAGGTATTCGGAGCAGGATGGGGATTGGGTGGGAAATTTGGCGGTGGCAAGTGCGGTGAGGTATGAGAGGGAGGACATGTGTGATGCTCCGGCCAACGACAGCATGGGGTGGAGGGATCCTGGATGGATATTTGATGCTGTCATGAAGGATCTGAAGGGTGGGGTTAGGTATTATTATCAGGTAAAATCTTGAGTTCTTATGTCCTTTTTTTTTTTTTTTTTTTTTTTTTTTTTTTTTTCTTTTCAATCAAGTATTTATAGCATTGAACTGTTGAACTATGTTATAGTTTAGGGAGGGTGTGGTTTGTTGTTAAATTATGAGTTTGGTTTCTTCTTTATATGGTTGATGAATCTAAATTCAAAGTTTGTCAGAATTTGAATCCAAGGGGTGAAACTTTATTCAGGTTGCTTAGTTGATAGTTAGATGTTTGTTCAAGGTGATTTATTACTTATTGATGCCAGTAGATTACCTTAATTACTAAAATTCTTTAAAGGTTGGCTTTTTTTCTTTCACAAATTCAAATTCCTTAAATCAGGAACTTTTCATAATAGAATTAACTTAAACTAGAGGTTTCATAATAAATTAGAATTCATGTTTATATTGGTCTAGTAAACTGATTTTGGATTAAGTTTGATACCCGTGGGGAAAAAATACCTCATTTTTTGTGATATTGGGGTGAGGGATTCAAGTTCATCTCTTAAGGGTGGAGAATATGCACCTCACCCAAAACCAGACCTCGGTTTTATGTAGGACATCTTTTTTGATCCAAGGTGATGGAATTAAATTTTACTTGCTTCTCTTTTCTGGTTTTGTAGCTGCTGAGTACTGAGCAGCATCACTCATCAAAATCATTTCATTCATTGATGACCATGTGTTTACTCCCTAACTTATCTATGTAAAAACCACATTAACTTTTAACAGCTAGTTTGCCTAAATTTAATGTTATTTAATGTTATTTAATTTTATTCTTTCTGGGTTTTGAGAATCTTGATAGCGTGTACACTTGTTTTGTCTATACCAAATGCAGTGTTGTCAAACCTAATTATACATAGTTATTCGTTCTGTGTTCTTTTTTAATCCCTTCTTCTCTTATTCAGTCCTTTTTGTTCCTGATTAGCCTGTTGATCTTCTGAGATAGTTGATGAAGAAGGTTGATTCTTGAAGCTGTCGTGTAGTTTGATTACAAAAGTTGTCATGGTGTGTGTGTTTGTTCTTACTGTGAACTGGGTTTCTATCCTTTTGCCTTGTTCTAGTGCTTATGAATTATGATTCCTGTTTACCTGATAATCTTGTGGGACAATCCATGAAGAAAAATGATTTTTGGGGAATTTGATTATTGTAATTACAGATTAGCCATTGGTGAATGTGTTTATGGAGGCATGAAAAGATGATTATATAGTTTATTGCATTAGACATTGCTGAAAGTAAGGGCAAAGATGCTCTTTTTATATTGGGAATTGATGATACTGCTTTGTTTGAGCTCTCTGAGGAAGGAAATTGTTTCATCTTTGTGTCTTCTCAGCTGATAGTTTAGTCCTCAGTCTTTGAAATGCTAATACTATTAGAGCACCATATTTTTATGCCAAAATGATGCCATAACCTGCAGTAAGTCAATTTCTTAAACTCGGAATAAGCACTTGACCACCTGCTAGTCAACTGAATTGTTTATTTTGAAATTCATAACCAAGAATCTGGGTTTCTGTACAAAGTTCATTACCGTGATTGTTAAGTTCATGTGTAATTGTGTCTGTTTCATGTATATTGTTAAATGAGTGTGGGTTATCTGTCTTATTCTTCTCAAGTTTGATACTATAGTCCCTACCAATCAAGTTTTAGACATTTTTCCTAAAATTTTCTTTAGTTATATAGCCCTGTTTCTAGTTCCAGCTGTGATCCATACACTTTGGAAGCAATTTTAGGTTTCCTTATAAAATTCATACTGTTTGTTAAACAAATTTTCAATCATTTCTGCTTTCCATATGTGGACAAAGTCATGTTTATTATGAACAGTCTAATTCTTTTCAAGCTTGATAAAATTAATTTTATCTTTGTTTTTTCTGGTTTAACCGTTTAATAGCTGCTGCAAACATCACTTATTCAAATTAATTGTGGTACCCATGTTGACAGTGTTTTCACTTCGTCTGATTAACATCTATTAGGTTTTAGTCATGGCAGCATAAAAAATGCAACTCTGTAAACTCTCTTCAAATTTCTTGACCTTTATTATATTATAGAATAATAGCTATGTTGTATGTGACAGGTTGGAAGTGAGAGTAAAGGTTGGAGCAGGACACACAGCTTTATGTCTTGGGACACAAAGTCAGATGAAACTACAGCATTCCTTTTTGGAGACATGGGAACTGCTACACCCTACAAAACCTTTCTTCGCACACAAGATGAAAGCATCTCAACAATTAAATGGATCCTCCGTGACATAGAAGCCCTTGGTCAAAAACCTGCTTTTGTTTCACATATTGGGGACATCAGCTATGCAAGAGGCTACTCATGGTTGTGGGATGAATTTTTCACCCAGATTGAGCCTGTTGCATCCAAGGTTCCTTACCATGTCTGTATTGGTAATCATGAATATAACTGGCTTTCACAGCCTTGGAGACCTGAGTGGTCATATTCAAGTTACGGAATGGATGGTGGTGGTGAATGTGGAGTGCCTTACAGCCTTAGATTTAATATGCCTGGCAAATCTTCTGAACCAACTGGAACCCATGCACCAGCCACTCAAAATCTTTACTACTCATTTGATATGGGTTCTGTACATTTTGTGTACATGTCAACTGAGACCAATTTCCTACCTGGAAGTAGACAATATAACTTTCTAAAGCATGATCTAGAGTCTGTTGATCGGGAGAAGATCCCTTTTGTTGTAGTCCAAGGGCACCGACCAATGTACACCACAAGCTATGAATATAGAGATGCCTCATTGAGAAAGAGAATGCTAGAGTCCTTGGAACCTTTATTTGTGAAAAACAATATCACACTTGCCTTGTGGGGTCATGTCCACAGGTATGAAAGGTTTTGTCCACTGAAAAACTACACTTGTGGAAGCATCGGTCTTGGTGGGGAGGATTGGGAAGCATTACCTGTGCATATTGTGATTGGGATGGGAGGACAAGACTGGCAACCCATTTGGGAACCTAGACCAGACCACCCATCCGATCCAATCTTCCCACAACCGAAGCAATCTTTGTATCGTGGTGGTGAGTTTGGCTACACTAGGTTGGTTGCTACGAAGAAGAAGCTAACACTTTCTTATGTAGGGAACCATGATGGGAAGGTTCATGATGTGGTTGAGATTTTAGCATCTGGCCAGGTTATCAGTGGTGGTGATACAGATGTTGATGGTATTAGTAAAATTGGAAGTGGTATTGCTGCTGGAACCAAGGATGTGGTGATCAAATCTAAGTTTACACAGTATGTCACTGGAGCTAGTGTACTGGTGCTTGGTGCTTTAGCAGGCTATGCTCTTGGTTTCATCACACACGCTAGGAAACGAAAAGGTGCTTCAAATGAGGGCTGGGCAGCTGTGAAGGGTGAAGAGATATGAGTAGAGATAGTGTTGATAGTGCTAATGGCTAGAGAATATATTGTGGGCTCTTTCAAAAATTCTCTTTTGAAAGAAATGCATAGTGCATCAAGGTCTGGTGGTCTGAATTGGCGTTCTCATGTTAAATACACAGGAATATGAAACTGAAGAAAGTGGTATATAATCTGGATGAACGAACTTTCATGAGTTAAAGTTTTTGTATATATAAATTTTTCTCTTGCATATTTATTATGAGTTAAGCAATAAATATATGTTTCACAGTATTGGAATGCTTGTAACAGTCTTATTCTCCCCGTTTGTCACGGTGTTGTATACTTGCTTTATTAATCAATTTCAATGCCAGGTTGCAAGTTTCCCTTTTTTCTGCCAAATTAGGTTAAGGTTCCTTAACCCTGCAAAAATCAACTCTTTTAGATTTGAAATCTTGACCAGTGGAGGCGGGATGCACCAGCCGCCAGGGTCCTGTAAAACATTGGCAAGACTGCTGCATCTCTAGCTGCTATAATGTGAAGAGATTGAAGTGTAGACTGGTGAGTTGGCATAATTTTGTTTGGTCAGTTGGAATGGAAATTTTCTCAGGATAGTGTTCTCTTATGCCTTGTGGATAGAGATAATCCTTAGTCTTTCTATAACAAAAAAAGAAATAATCGTGAAGATTATACCTCGAATCCAACTTCAAGAAGAAAATTGTTCTATTATTTAATGAATATAAGTACCCAAATGGGTTAAGAACACCAGAAATTAGTTATTACAACATAATCAATAACGGAGTGGGGAAATGAAAAGGTAAACAGGGATCATCCAAGCGTGTCTACCTAGGGCCTTCTTTTTTCACCATCTACATAACATCTTTCAGTTCGCAAATTTTCACTTTGAAAGCAAATGACGTGCCCGTTGGTTGGCACCTTTCACCCGAGAATTCAGTTCGTCCACATCGTCTTGAAGATGATCGAGAGCTTTGTTTTGTCTGCATTTACCAGTATGTAATGTTGTATCTTAACATGTCATTAACAAAAAAAAGAAGAAAAATGTAACTTGAATGTGAGAATGAATGAGCACAATAAAAAAAAGGAAGAGTATGGGTGAGAAAAAGTGAAAAATTACAGAAGAAATCTTAGTAGGATAGATATGGGTCCTTACTTAAGAAAGTGTTGTGCAGTATAGATTGTATCGAACTGCACAACACTTATCAATGGGCCCCTGTTTTGCAATCTGGTCTTATAAAAATGTAACCAGTATTTGGCATTCTTAGTTTAACAGAAACACAGGTGTAAGGTCTATATAAATAAGTTATAGATTTTCTAATGTTTAAGTTTAATTATTCTGCAGCACAAGCCCAGAGTCATTTACACTGGCAAAAGGTCACTTCTTAAGACAGTCTGAAGTAAAAAGAAGAAAAATGGCAAATGGACCAAGAAGTTGACTGATAGAAGACTATTTTCATTTTCCTTTTTCCAGATAAGAAGCTATTTTCAATTTCAAAATTTGAAAGATGAACTGTGTAAGACTCACAAGATAGTTCAAAATGTAATAGCATTTAAACAGACTATAAACATTATAACTTACCTGTCAAGTTCGGTTCCCATATCAACAGCCATGCCCTTCAGATCACCCAAAATGTTACTTAGATCTGAAAGTGCATCATCTTGTTTTGTCTTCTCCACCTAGGGGGTAGAAAATGAATAAATCTTAATCAAACAGCAAAATTTTCTTAAAGATACTCCAGAATCATGTACAAGAACAACATGACCAACCTCTACTTTCTGCAAGGCTGTCGTCGGTTCTGGAGGTGTTTTACTACCTGCTTTGGGTGCAGGAGCTAAACCCAATTTTTGTCTCTCCTGTGATTGTTTTTCACCCTTTTTGGAGGGCTTATCTGCAACAATACGTTAATCAATTCATTGACTTGATATATCCTTATCCCAATTGAAAATTACATTTTATTTTGGAGAATATTCAACCAACTTAAGTCAGACTGCTGAAGCAAATTGTATTAGAAGAAAACCTGAGGTGATTACTGGCCCTGTAATATTTTTGGTCTTCTTTGGTTTCCAAGGCATAGAGAACATGCCACCAAGATTATTCAAAAGCTTCTCCCCCTGAAATTAGTAATGCAAAATTATGAGATGTATTTCCCATGTAAAAGAAGTTGCTAAAGAAATATAAAAAATAAAAAAGAAGTATACGAATTCTATACTCAGAGCAATGAAGGAATTCGAAATCATCTCCGTTGGATGAGACAATATTATTACAGAATGCAAAAGAATTAGGATGACCAGAGACTTGGACTCTTAGGGTTTTTCTATTGAACACCAATGCATTATTTCAAATAATCAGAAACGAACCAAGAATAAAAAGGCACAAAAGCTTCACAATTCATGCTCATCTGATTCTATCGAGAGGTGTGTTGACTTTCTGTGCAGTACTCAGAAGAATGTAATATTACAACCAGACTAATTTTATTCTCCAAGATTTACTATTGTTATGAAGGCGAAAGTATATTTTATGTCAAACTTAAATCAAGACACAAGATATGTTAAACCATTGTAGATATAATTAACTAATTAATACAATAAGCGTCAAAGACCAGGCTTTGCTCTACTCTAGCCAATGCATGCTTATCCACATCAGGTTGATCTAACAGTCTTTGATGGTTATATTAATTTGTAACTATAATGATATAACTAAACTTTATGTACAAATGATTTTATAACATTATCTTTTCACAAGTGAATTAAGCCATTAAATGAAGCTCCTGGGATAATCAGGCTTGTTAGATCAAAACAATACATATATACATATATATATAAATAATTTTTACAACAACAACAACAAGTAACAACAAATACAATGCAGAAACAAGAATAATTTTTCTCTATAAAGCCAGGGAGATTTAATTTCCAAAAAATAAAATAAAATTGCTCATTCTGAAAGCGAAAGGATCTTATGAATATAAGTAATCAATTGATATTTACCCATACTCTTAAGAGGAAGACCAAGATGAAAATGTCAGTAGAAGATAACAAAGGCAAATGGGGAGTGTTCAAGAATTTTCAAATACATCAAGTGTCATTCCTGGTTTCTTCCTCTACCATCCTACTGACCTATTTTCTTGAAAATCAACTGAACGAAGATTATTGATATTACCTTACTCAAATCTTTATCAATCTCAACAGCCATCTCATGTGTCCTTGTAATTTGCTCACCCTGTTGATGCAGCATGTCAAGTGTCTTTGTTGCATCCTCTCTTATGTTCTCAGCAATCTTCAAGCAGTTACTGACACTCTTTGTTGTCTCCTCAGCTTTATAGACAGCATAATTCTCAAGTTCTTCCATAGTCTGGTTCTGTAATCCTCCTGAGTCACGGAAATTTTTCTTGTACCTATTTTTATCTCTTGCAGGTGATGGTCTAGTGGAAGCTGAAGATTGTTTTTTTTGTCCATGGTCATCCTCACCAAGATTTGAGATTAATAGCATAGGCTCGGAGGAAGTTCGTCTTGCTGGTTTAAGAATCTTGTTGTCTTCGGAATCTGAATCTGAATCAAAGGGATTACCACTAGAAGTGGGGGGGTTCGGCTTAGAAACATTATTACTATTATTATTGGCAGGTGACTTCAGAAATCCAAACATCTTGGAAAAGGAGGGGTTATATTGCTGGAGATTGTTTAGAAGCCGAGTAGTCCTCAAGAGATACCTAAGAAAGAAGCAATCAACATTAGTTTGTGAGGCCAAAGGTGCTTACTTTTGCCATCATTTCAAGTACATGTCTATCATGGATGTAACTGAGACTTTCTTAAAATGAAAAACCAAATCTAACGTAACTCGTTTAGGACTCAAGGAATTATCAAATATTGTAAACTTAATTAACATGACAAGAACGGTCAAAATATTATATGGAAAAACATAAATAAATGCAAACCTATGGCTGAGGCTCTTGTTTCGAGGAATTCAAATCCAATTTCAGGGTATTAACAACAAAGATGTAGAAAGTTGTTAACATAAATTTACAATGCTCCATTAGGCAGCAGAATGCAGGGTTAGATAAGATATTGGGATGTAACCACTAACCAGTTGATGTTTGATTGTTGAAGTTTCAACAACTAAAAATGAAAGTTCTCTCTTTGTAAGGCAAAACAGAATACAAGCAAAATCTTAAATTCATATCCTAATTGGCTAAAGAAATTGTAGTGCGTCTGCCGCACCATGTATGGGTTGGTGTGTTCCTTAATTTGATCAATTCAATGCAATGTTATGTGTCTGCAAGCTTTATGTTCAATGCAATGTCATGTTTATACTCAAGGGAAAAAAACAAATGGAGACCCAAATGGAAACAAAATCATGCTAAAAAACATCTGATACCCAGAAATTGAAGTGTTACAATCAAGAGTCAAATTCAAGAGAAAACCACTACAAAGAGAGGAAGAAGGAAAAGATTACCCGGGAAAACTTGCTTGGATTTGGGTAAAAAAATGGGGAAAGCTTCAAAAACAAAACCGATAAAGAGTAATGGGTAGAGATGAGAGAGTTTTCTGTAATTGCAAAAGTCTCTCTCTATGAAGAAATCCAACAGATGTGAGGCTTCCCGAAAAAGCAGACAAGCTCTCTGACAGCCACAAAATCTATTTCTTGACATTTTTTGACCGTTGGAGTGGTTTTCTTTGGCTTTTTTCAGTTTTAAAATTTAGGCTTGGTTATTTATTTGATAATTGCCTTATTATTATTTTCAAAAAATTATTATGCACTATAGATCACACAACTAAACTATAATATGTTCTTTGTTTTAAAATAATTATCA